TCAAGACATAGGAAGATGGAGTGTTTGATAAAACTGAAGGGGCTCTTTAGGCACAAACTCATTACAAGAAATTCTTAGAGAGGCCTGAGCATCATGACTTTGGCACCAACATAATAACATAACTTAATATAAAATGTCTACTTTCCCATCACCCAAAAAGTTTTTAGCACATTACTCTGGTGTGTGTATATGTGTGTACCTTCTCTTCCTCTACTTATGAATGTTCATAAGCAAAAGTATTTAAAAGTAAGGTACCTCACAGCAGTTCATAAATACTTTTGCTTATGAAATTTCTCACAGCAGGTATTTCACAGCATGTTATTTTTATACAAAGAAAATAAAATGTAATGCTAAAAACTAATTTGTATGCATTTAGTTTTATTAATTTTTAACCATGAGAAGAAGTTCAGAGGTTAAATATTTGATCAATGGAAAACTTCTACATTTAAGTTTTAAAATACCAATTGAGATCGTGTGTGTGCGCGCGCGCGGGTGCGTGTGCGCGCGCGCGTGCTCACGCTTGTTGGTTTTGTTGCAGGCATGTTCCTCTTTTTGATACACTAATCAAATGTACTTCATTTTAGGTTTCCTCAAGAACTAAATATGGGGAAAATAAGTGCTGAAATCATGTGGACTCTTTTTGCTCTAGATATGAAATATGCCCTAGAAGGTAAGTACAAAATCTATACTTATTAGAATATTTGCCTTAATTTAATTGTGATTTATGTTCTTGACTTTAAGCATAAGGAATTAATTAATTAATTAAAAACATTGACAATTGTCATCATCTTAGTTGAAAAACGTATTTTCACCTGGTAGGAAGATAAAGGACTCAGAGCATTTGAAAGTCCTAAAGAAGTAACTACATGCTTTAATCAGGTGGCCTAAATTGCAGGATCATAATGGATAATTCTCTGTAGGATAATGGTCAGACAGGAATATTTTATGGCAGTTTACTTACTAAGGCTGCCATATTGAGAAGTGGATGAATAGTACAGGACCAGGTATTTATATGGACTTGGAAATAGTATCCATGGGTGGCAAGAGAACATATTAACTGAAGCTCACACAAGAAAATACCAAGGGTTTTCATCGAAACATTCCACTGTCAACATGTCCAAGTCATACAATGTAAAACAAGAAAAATACAGCTCTAAGTTCAAACATTTTTATAAATATTGTTTGAACACCTACACTGTTAAGAATTAGTGGTGGGATCATAAACTAGCTTCCTGTCTCCTAAGAACTCACATCCTATAGAAAAATGTTTTTGTACTTACTCAACAAACATATATTGAGTCCATAGATACTAAATTATT